TGTACATGTACATGTGTATAACACTCGGTGATAGAATGTCGCTCTCGGCTGACTATTTTACTTCTCGGCGAAGATCTCGTTAAAATTAACTGCGAAACGAGAATCAAACAGCCACACTTAACGCTAAATGCGTGGTGAGAACACGCGGCCGTGCACTTGCCGAGATCCCCGGAGAATCGTAACAATTTCTATTCGCCAAATATAATTCGTCACGTCGCGGACTGCGGAAATATATTCGTTAGGTGGGCTCCCGCATTATACAAGCGCTGGTTTGGGAGTCGTTCGAGGTTGGCCACGGTAAATTGCGACCGGTAATGTCAGTTCTTAATAACGGCTCGCCAGCTGGTGATATCGATTCGTAGGCGGCCGCGGCGAGTGCGCGCGATCGTATTTTTCAGGCCTAGACCGCACGCGCCGATCGAGTACATCTGTTTATCGCGTCGGCTCATACATTAATTAAACCGACGTGGATTCTCATTGCGCAATAACGGCTCTGCGCGCGATCCTTCTTCTTTTTTTTTCGAAATGATTACTTAATTGACAAACCTGCCGGGATGCTGGATTTCACTTAGGACACTCGTGCACAGAATATCGAGTTTTTCATTCGTAAGGATGTATCAAAGATTCACGTTGTTAGAAAAACGGGCGTGAATTCTGTGAAGAGCCGCAGCGTGCTTCCCCAGGATTAGCCGAGAGCACAGTCCACGTCGATAATTCACCGAAATGCGCATTGCATTTGCCCGGTAAATATAGCGGCGCTATACCTCGAGGTCCGCCCTTCGATTTCCATTCGTCGTCCCGCGCCGCAACAGCAGCAGTTGCGAAGGGGGTGAGCGGGCTTCCGCATTAACATAAACGTATTACGAGGCACCGACGACAAGTTAGAAAGCAAGAGCGCTCTAACGAGTGAAAAATCGACCGATATAGATCGGCATCGTGGCGTGTATAGCCTCGCTCTTCGTGGGCTAGGTCGTAACGAGTCCGGGGAAGAGGACTCTTTTTCTTTTGCCTCCGTTGAGAAAAAGGCAGGCGCGATCTAATTACGGTGAGGGTAGTGAGCGAGTCGCGGGAATTCCCGGGGAAAACTCCGGACCTTTCTCCAGCAGCTCAGCAGGCGAGAGACTGTTGTTGCTGGTGCGATAGTCCGCGCTGGGGATGGCTCGATGCACTCTCTCGAGGTTGGATGGCAGCTCGCTCACTTACTCACTCGCTCGGTTGGCTCCGCTCGGCTTGGTTGGCACTGGCTACGATCGATGCCGCTAAAATTCAGCCGATACCGACGACATAATGAGGATGAATCGGCCAGTCTAGGCGAAGATCGATTCTCTATCAAAGGGTTCAAGAGGGATGTATGTACGATATGTACAAATGAACGCGAATGTATGTGCTGGCCGAGAGATAAACAGCCGGGTCGTTGGGAATTATAGTTCTCCACCCCGCATTGTTTCTTCCTCGGTCTTGCGAGCTGAAAAAGTATACGACTACGTGAAAGGATTGGTAAAATAACGATAAGCTTTGAACAATCCGCCTGATGGCCGAGGTATACTCGCGGTATTTACATTATCTAATCGGACTATGAAAATTAAACGTCGTTTAATAATATTATCAGAGTATATCACGTGCCTCCCTCTCTTCCGTCTGATAAGTGCGCGCCAAAGTTGACGCAGTGGATATTCCTTCGTTTGCCCGTCACAGTTTCTACCCCGATGACAAGTCGCGTGCAAAACACATGTCTGGGACCTATCTACGATTACGTACGAATGAATGCATCTAAATCCATCCGATGCGAGAGCGACTATACAGCGGCGTGTCGGTGTATATATTTTTCTCTTTCCCTTTGCACTCGATACGCGTGCAGATGGGGCAGCGTGCCAGAGCGAGGGACGGAAGCGAGAGAGATGGGGGGAAGAGAAAGAGGGGCGAGAGAGAGAGAGAGAGGGAGGGAGGGGGAAAGCAGCGAGAGAACGAGCAGGAGAGATTGGGGGAGAAA